GTTGCTTGAATGAGTCGTTCATGAGTTGCGTCCAGATTCCTTGGAAATTGAATTTCATTTTATTTCACCATGGTATTGTCTCATCAATGTTTGCTACTTATCGGTAATATCATGCGGAATATTATTGTTTATAATATGGAGCACCTTGGGATCAGTTACTAATGATTTCACTGAACATTCCACTCGAAACGGTGTTCTTTCTTTACACTACCGAACGGTTGATTTATCTCTATAATACCTCTATAGTAATAATGGTAATAGGTATGTTTATAGTTTTCGCACTATTATAACACTACCATGATTTCAACTTAATGTGAGTGTACCTGGGCACCATAACCTATTATTGTTATTGGGACATTTTGGTAGGTACTTAATGAAAACAACGTCAGACGGTTTGAACTACTTGCTTTATTGATAGATATCTGAAGAGTGAGCATCCGACAGTTTAGCATACGGAACCAAAACAGAATTCATATTCATAAACACCAAACAGTGGCGTCACTTCTTTAATTCACTTTTTGGATATTTCTATTGAAATCCAACAATGACATGGTGGAAACAACCATCTATTTTATCGTGACATGGTAGAAACAACCGTTTTATCGTGACAATATTATTTGTAGATACAACATTGTTTGAGTTAGCAAGCCAGCAGTAGAAATAGGTAAGGCGTTTCAAATAGAAGTATACAAATTACAATTGATAATAGCGTGGTCCAGTGAACGAATAACACAATCCTTTCACATGAAAATCCTCTCGTATTATATTTTTTTCAGTTTTTCCATAACGAAGAAGCTTGAAGAAATTTCCTTCTATCAGTAATACTAATTGTTTGGCAGTACAAATAATTTTCTTTCTTCATTAATAACAAATTCACCAAGGGCTGCGAAAACTCGGATACCTCTGTATACTTTTTTTTACTGTCAATTGAAAAAACTTTAGAGAATAGATGAAGAGACATCTGAATATGTTTATTGTATACGAGGTGTAATTTAATTGATGGTTGAAAATGCAGGATATGGTTCCTTAACTCATTTTGAGGAATGAAGTTTATATGAACATATGCCCTAAACTTTCGACCTCTACGGTATTGAAATTTTCAGAAAAAATCGATTTCTCATCATAACTTCAATACCGTTCTAAATATTTCCATGAAATTTGACATGCACCTACTAATCACCAATAGGCATTTTTCGATGCACAAGATTTTTCAATATCTCTAGCAGTTTTTTGAAAAATATATTATGCGCCCTTGATTTTTCCAAGATAAAAAAAAACATTTTTGAACTACTCATTTTTTTTGCAACAATTTGCAATTCTTTCTTTTTGAACTAACTGACCTATTCCACTTTGACTGAACTGAATCAGTTATAATATGCCTTCTATCTAATCATAGTATTTCGGAAGAAAGCATATAAAGTAACTGATTCAGTTCAGTTCTAGTGAAATATTTCAGTTAGTTCAGATTGGAGGAATATCACTATAGATGACTATTTCACCAATCTCCTAATCCGACCAATCACAAGCCAGATACGAGTGCTTATCGCGAAAAACTTATAGCTGTGTTTCAATTCCGATTGGTCTATCAGCGTTCATGTTCTCAACGATGTATAACCATGGAAAGCGAAGCAAAGTCTGTCAGTTTGGCATGGAAGAATACTCGATAGAAATAAATCATATGAACATTCTTTTTGTATTCTGATGGTAATTCGATTACAGAATGAAAAATAATGAATTTTTTATGGATATGAGTGGATATTATTAATAGCTTTTTGAGGTTGAAGGTTCATATACTTACCAAAAATTATTTTGGTGTAGTGATGTTGATGGTTGTGATCAAGCAAGAATAACTACCATTTTCGATCTAGCGAAACGATCAACAGCTCCAGACGAATTTTATTATGATGATATTTTCAATCTTCTGAACAACGTCAATACCCCTATTTTTGAGAAAATCATGCTATTAAATATTTCGACAGGAACTTTCGGTACGACAATCCACTACACTACACTACACATCCAATTCTTCTATTTCAACACAAAAAGTATATTTCTTTCTAGAAATCACTATTCAGTATGAACTTACTTTTTGAACGATATATCACAATCATACTTTCAATCAACGATCGCCTCATATAACTCAGACTTGTATTCCCCTCGTTACTTGTAGGAAAATTATCAACAGTTTTTACACAAGTGGTGGTAATTTTCTTGCTATAGAAATCTCACGAGTGGACGAAGTTTACGAGTGGGATTTCTTAATAATCTAGTTAAAATTATCATGAAAAAAATTCACCACGTGAATCAGATTATCGCTGTAATTTGCTACTAACGAATTATCAATAGAATATTATAATAGAACGGCTAGGCTCTGGAACTCATTGCCTGTGGAAGTATTCCCAACAACATATAATCTCCAAAAGTTCAAAAAAAATTCCAATACCTACCTCCTGTCCCTATCCTCCCAAGGAACGCACGATGTTCTTTGAACATTATAGGGATTCCCTTTCGTGCGCTCCAAGCGATAAAAAAAAAAAAAAAAAAAAATGATTGGCTAGAATTAGGCATCGATATTGGTTGAAACAACTATAACGTCACGTTTTGACATATGAAAAAAATAATCGAATCAAATATTTTGTAGCGTCAGATTTTGCATTTTCAATAACGATTCTCAACCCACGGAAGAAATTCAATATAGCCAACCGATATGAAGTTGAAAGGTTCAATACAATGTCAGTACTATGGAGATTATCTTCATTGAAACTGAATAGGAAACGGAGAATTGTATTTTCACACCGGCAGGAGTAGATGTTCACTGGTAACAAAAGAGGGGTAGAAGTCTCGTATTTATACCAACTCTACATTTCCTGCATAGCTCTGCGCTTCCTTTTCGGAACACCCTCCTCTGAGGCGAGTTCACTGCAGAAGCAGTATCAATAGTTTCTTGAGGTTTTCCCATCTACAAATTGAATACAAAAAGTAATTTTTTACAAAATCTCAATTATATGAGTAGATTGTAGAATGAAAGTATGATCGTGATATATCGTTGAAAAAGTAATTTTTTCTGCAACCGACACAAAAGTCGTCCATTTTGATACCAAAATTAGCTCTCAAATTGACGTTTCTATTACTGACACAAAAATAGGTATGTTGCTAGGCAACATATTTAGTTCCTAAGAGCTAAAGTTGAATTTTAGTTCCTAGGAGCTGAAGTTGAACTTTAGCTCCTAGGAACTAAAAAGGATGTACTGTAAGTCATCAAGGATGAACAACATTGTTACGGTTGGTTATTTGGGTTGAGACGCATACCTGATTTGTTTCAGATTTCGGCAGATTTGGCATTTCATACCCATGCTGAAGATAAAAATACACCTTATAATAGTTGAGTATTGGAATTATAAACATCTCAGTTGAGTATTTCTGTTTTGATAAGGAAAGCCTTCAAGATTCAAATACTTGCTTGATTTGTGTTTCATTCGTTATTCTCGGGATGGATAATTTGTTTTTGAATAATCACGGCAAGCAATAGTTTTGTTGTCTCAAACAACGATATTGTTTACCTTCATTTGGTTATCAAGTAAAACACAGTGTAGTATGGAGAGGAATAAATAATCGCTATTATTATTGTTGATATGCTCACTAACCTAACATTTTCCACGTCTTGTTCCTATAGCTGGCACTGGCGCGTTATTTGCCATTAGAGCACCTGGTCCATACACAGATATGCAACTCTGGTTGTATATATATTGAGAATACAATCCGAACATCCTTGATAATTGAATTAACCTGCTGTTGATGCAGGTAGAATATTCTCACCACACGGATTATTTTGTCAATATTTGTTGCATTGCATACATATGGCACAGTATTGGTGGTTACTTCATATATTTATTTGAGTTAATTGTTTCGGTTGCAGAAAAAATAGCATGTTTCATTCGGATCGAAAGTGACTTTGTTCGACTCGCAAATTTTGCTTTCGCTCGACTTCGCTAAACGCTCCGCTTCGCAAATGCAAAATTCGCTTGTCAAACAAGGTGTCACTTTTGATCCCAATAAAACAATATACTATATACTATCATACTGAATATTATCGATTTCATTTTGAATTTGAGTCTCAGTTTTGCCTGTGATCAGTTGCAATTCGAATTTGTTTAGTTAGAATGTAGATTCCCATTTTGATAGTGATTGGTTTCTATTTGAATTTGTTCATTTTCAATTTGAATGTGTTTAATCCATGCTGGATCATTTCGTCCAATGCGAAGATAATTATTTTCATCTTGAAAATGATTAGTGTCAATTTGAAGTTAAAAAGGATTAGCAAATGCTTTGTGTTTAACATAGGATCACGTTAATTTCTCTCTGTAATATACTTGTACGATTTTTTTTTCAATACGACCATACGTCTTTAGAATATTCAGATCATATCGTGAGCATAATGAGCATATTATGAGAATATTCAAACATTCTCTGAGAATATCCCATGGACGTTCTATGAATAACATTATATGTCATCTGGGATGCCAAGGTGCTGTCGGTTGGAATCCGGCTTTTCTGAGCATTTTACTAAAACATGAGTGATTCTCAGTTGTAGTACCTACTAGCAGCATTTCGGCTCCCTAGAAGTGATTTGATATCATTTTCGAGCTTCAGTTTCCGCTCATCCTAACCTACAACAAAAATGAGTTATTTTTTAAAGGTCCATAATAATCCCAAATCAGAAATTCTTTGATATAATATGTATTTATAATATGATTTTCAATTAAGGTCCTTGATTTATTGGCGTATTTAATCAATGATATGATGTAGGACGAAATGCCATTGCAATGTTAGGATGATTGTTCTTGTATGAAGTAAAGTAAAACCATAGTATTGTTATGATTGTGATATGTTTTTTGTCTTGATGAATGCAGAAGAATAGCCCTAGGCTAAACTTTTGTCTATTTTGTAAGAGAATAAAGATGATTCATTATGATTATCATTATTATTATTATTCCACCCAGGAATTGGTTATCAGACGGTTCTTGGATTGGCTGCACGAGGATGCAGAGTTATTGTAGCTGATCAAAATGTCGACGAAAAAATACAAAGATCATTGATAAAGGAGTCTAACAATCCGAATATCATTATGCAGTATGTTGATTTGGCTTCATTTGAATCAGTTAGAGAACTGGCAAGAAGATTGACTGCGTCGGAAGATAAACTGGATATCCTGATAAACAATGCTGGAATAGGCAAGGGACCTGACAAATTGTCTAAAGACGATCTGGACGACACCTGGCAAATAAACTATTTCAGTGCTTTTCTTCTGACACATCTGCTGATTGGTAAGATGATATTTCATGTGAAAAAATTATAAGTGACATCATTGACCATTAATTGAAAAAAAAAATGCTCATGAGGTGCGATAAAATAACCGCATGAATTTGGATTTGGTTGTCTTGGTTAGTTCATCTATGGGATCGTTAGATTATTGAGGGAATCAGTCATATGTGATTGCAAATAGTCGATGAATGTTAAAATAAATCAACTAGATATTAATTAAATGCCAAGATTACTGGGAGTTTTTCTCTTCGTTTCGATAAGGTGAAAATAAATATTATTTCAATAGTAAGAACAGATGAAATGATTTGGCAGAAAATTTCATTGTTATCAACAATGTCCCTAGTAGACAGTGTTTGAGAAAATTCCATTTCATAGTCAGTGACAACTCGTTTTGAATATAATTGAAGAGAGGGATATACATCTCTCGAAAAAATATAAAATTTTCAACAAAATAGAGAGAAAATTATTCTTGCCAAATTGTCTTCCGATTTCTGTATTGACAGAAACTTACTATAAAGGGACAGGATGTTCTTATCAATTGCTTTCAAATATACAATTTTATAAACGAATTGCAATTTCCTGAGCATATAGAATCTGAAAGGCATATTTTTGGACCTTCTTGTTCATCTCTACTATCCTTATTACCACAACGGGCTCAGGGATATGCATATAAGTTTTATTTTTTTCTATCCGTAGCTAGAGCTGAAAAAATTGTTGTCGAGTGTTTTTTAGAAATCAATTGAAATATTTTTGTTCAAGGAAGTTGAACAACCTGTACGAATTGTTTCGTATGTTTACATGAACTAGCCTTAATAAGAAAAAAAAGAATTTTGATGAAACATAGTAGGTAAAACTGATTGTTATTTTTATGGAACGTGAAGTCCATAAAATTTGCGAGAAAATCTGATTTCTGAATGGAAATAATACGCTGCATTATCTTCCACAGGGTGTCATTTTGATATCTCTCAACGCGAATGTCTCGCAAAATGAAAAAGTTGGAAAAATGCCGTTTGGCACGAATATTATGTATAGCCAGGGAAAATGAGAACCAATATATTTCAGTAAATGTCAAATGGCACCATCCCTTTTTCGATACCACAAATGGAAGATACCATTAAATAGTATTCCCCTGTACCTATTTTTTCTATCCAAAATTCCTGGTACGGGTGAGTACCACTTAATTAAACCGTTCATTTGAGGTATTACAAAAGGGATAGTACAATTTGACAGTTTGAAGTCATGCCTAAGGGGTGATCACCCCTCTACTCCTCTTCTGAAGAAAATGTGGTTTTAATTCCACTTATCATTCGTGCCAAACGGCGTTTTCCATTTTCTTTTTCATTTTGCGCAATATCCGCAATATTTAATGATTGTTGTTCCAGGACTGTTGAAGAAATCTTCAGCTGGCAGAGTAATCTTCACAAGTTCTTTGTTATCCCACGTGCATCAGTTGTCTTCGGAAAATATAACTGCTACTGAAATCAAATCCTCTGAATACTTCTTATCTTATTCAGACACCAAAGTAGCACTTATCATTGCCTCGGATATATTCGCAACTAAATTGAATAAATTCAATATCACCTCCAACGTTTATCATCCCGGAATTGCGAATACAGCTATTTTCGAAAGAAGCATGCGAAATATGGAAGGAATCGGAGAAAAGGCATTGGTCTTTGTGCTACGTTTATTGTTATTCTTCCTTAATAAGGTGAGTGCGAGAATGCAGAATAAATCGAAGGAATATTTTTGGAAATAATATATGATTTTCTTACGAAACAAAATTTCACGAGTAAGGAATATAAGTTTCTATAATAACAACACTTGTAGATACTTGGATACCTACGTAAATGTAAACAACTTCACAAACGATAATAGTGATTCACACGAGACCAACGAGACGAGACTTTCATAAAGTCTCGTCTCGTTTCGCCGATAAAATATGAAGTGTTGTCTCGAGTCTCGTCTCGCAGCCCCGAGTCTCGTCTTGTCTCGCGTCTCGTACGAGAGTCTCGCAAATATGTATCGCAATTTCGTCATGCATAATCTTGTTTCAGTCTAGTACGGGATATTCACCTTTAACTACTTTTTAGGTATAATGTAGAAGTAGGAAGAGGAAATTACAACAAAAATAACATTATTTATTGAAAAGTAAGTATACCTAATATGTACATACTTACATCATACATCTAAACAAGAAAAAAAACATAGCATTATATACTCGAAAGTTATAAAAATAAAATAAAAAGTAACACGTATATTCTGAACGAATAAACAAAACAAAAACTTCAATCCAACATTGTTTTAGTTATTTGAGAAATAGGTATCTGAGAAAATATTTATTTTCCTCCGACTGGCAGCAAATATTAATTTTGCTGACACATATCAATCAGCAAAGTATTACTTTTCCTGCCTAGGCAGCAAAGTGGGTACTTTGCTGCCTAGGCAGCAAAGCTGTTACTTTGCTGATTGATATGTATCAGCAAAATTAAAAATCCATAAATCGTTTATAATTTCCTTCATATTTCATTCGAGACTTCTCCGGCAACAAATTCAACTCTATATTTTTTGCCACCTCCCTTATTAATGGAGGTGAAAGTTTAGTTCCAGGTCGCTATCACTGTCCATTATACAATAATTTAAATATACCGATATTTTTTCGCACAACTGTCAGAAATTTCATGAATTGTCAAAACAACAACTGCGATTTCTATCAAATTTCATTTTAATTGAACACTATACAGGAAGAATAAAGAGATTGTGGAATTGTATTAATTCGCAAATACAATATTCTCCCATATCATTATGAACAATCGGAGAAAAAATTATATGTTCAACTCGGCAGCAAAGTAGATTGACTGCCTTTTAGCTGGATTCCTAGCCTCGCTACGCTCGGCTATGAATTCAGCCTCGGCAGTCAATCTACTACTTTGCTGCCTAGTTAAACAAATAACTATTGTTTTACTAGGCAGAAAAGTAGTCAATCTACATTTGCTGCCGTGTGCATGAAGCATAGAATTTTGTGTAATTTTTTTATTGAAAACTCCACCATTTTGTGTTCACCCAATGTCAGTGTCAATTTTGATCACTAATTTCATTGGAAAGTTGCATATAGCAACGAACTTTTTTGCCTAGGCAGTAAAAGTACACCTTTTCTGCCTGTTAAGCGGCAGGAAAAAGCCACTATCCCTGCCGATGGAAGAAAAAAACCTTTATCAGTCAGATCAGCCTTCACGATCGCAAATGTTTTTGTTTTTCACCCAGTCGTTAAGACATAACAAACATCGTGCAGTTTCATTATTAAGGCGATTCCGATGTTTTCTTAAAGAATTCTATCTAAATATGTTTCATCATGAATGAATTTCTCAAGTCTGCAGTCGGCACGCAGAAATATTTACCTGCGAGACTCTCGCACGAGACACGAGAAGTCTTGCACGAGACTCGAGACGAGACCAATAAAAATCTCGTCGTCTCGTCTTGTCCGAGTTTCGTCTCGAGTCTTGTCTCGAAAACGAGACGAGACCATGCGAGACTCTCGAAAACGAGACTCTCGCGGGTACCACTAAACGATAAGATAAGACTGCCGCCTATGCGTAACCTGGCCCAACAAAATCCAATCAGCAATATTTGTAGTCTCTGAGGACTTTCCTATGAGTCACATGGGTTTAACGCCATCTAGACTATAGGAAGAAAGAAACACTCTTGCATTAGTATTCGTTTATATACGTATCGATGCATAGATTTTGGAAGGTTGTAATCAAATATTCTGCGTGGCATCAGTAGCCAGGAAAGTAGTTCCGTTTTTCTCTCGCCATCTGCCATTGTTGTTCATTTTATGAACATTATTAGTGAAAATGACTGTTTTGTATTCATTGAACGATAAGATTTCCATGGAATTCTTAATCACAAGACATGTTTTGCTAACACGATGATTTCTTCAGGTGAGTGCGTTATGTTAGCACAAGAATATTGCTATTCTGGCTACCAGCATGAAATTCGGTACACATGTTGATGAATATATAGAAAACAAAAAACCATCGAACCACACGCTGTATCTGGAATATTTCAGCCGCCATTTTTCAAAATGGCGACCGAAAGCTAGATTTTTGCTAATATCTCCAGAACGGTGGGAAATATCGGGAAAGTTCAAATTGATGAAATATAGAGGATACCAAGGCGGACATTTTTCGTTCGAAACAGTTTTTGTCAGACGAATCAAAAATTCAATAATCGAGATATTTAAATTCAATTTTTTCATGGTTTCTCAAGAAAAAATCAAAATGGAAACATTGAGGCTAAGATTAGTCACAGAAATCATGATCATGAGTTATCTGTATGATGAACTCTTTCTTGAGGATTCAAACCGAAGATACCATTGAGTAAAATGGCGGTCAATTATTTTAATCTAAATAAAATCATATATCAATCATGTTATAGGCTTGATGTTTAATCAGGTTCGATTAGATCAGTAAGAATCTTGATGAACTAACTAATACAACAGTATTACAAATGATGTTTATTGAGTATACTGTCCATCACACGTGCATAGAGCAGTACATTGCAAATTAAATCTATTGCATTTGCAGTTCTTGATACACATTGTTCATCTTAACATTCCAGTTTTGACGACTTCCATCCCCAGTTAGTTGCATTTGAAATATATGGTTGCAATTCCAGGGTTGTGAAAAATTTAGTGAGAGATCAAAGTGAGAACCGGGTAAGGCATTTATATTGAGACAAAATTATATCTCGGTTCGACTCGATTATTTCGAAAGACATTTCAGACGAATAATGTGAGGCCAATGATTTCCAATCCAAATCTGTGCTGAACAATATAGGTGTTCCTATTAAAAAAATCGACTTTCGCTCTGAAGGCTCCACTTCCGGTCTAGTACAATATTTCTCAGATTTTTTTTTCTGAATAATCGAATATGTACAAGCGAGATATAATTTTGCCTCGAGATGAATGCCCCACCCGGTATATTGTAGAGTTAAAAAAGATCTTCTATATTTCTAGATGAACACGTGTGTAAGGTGGATTTTTATGAATAGGTAGGGATACTCGGTAACGGGGTAATTGTTGGTATTTTAAATGATTTTTTGATTCTCCACTGAGTATATTCAATTTATTGACTTCAATATCAGCCTCACAAGAAAATGTTTCGGTCAAAAGATGTCCGCCTTGTAATGTTCTTTATTTCATAACTCTGATTTCTTCCAAAATTTTGCACCGTTCTTGAGATATCAGCAAAAATCTAGTTTTCGGCCGCCATTTTAGAAAATGGCGGACGAAATATTCCAGGCACAGCTTGTGTCTCGGTGGTTTTTTGTTTCCTATATATTTCTCATCATGTATGCCAAATTTCATGCTGGTAGCCAGAAAAGCAATATCATTATACTTTTTTGAACCAACCCAACGCACTACGGTGTAACGGATTCACGTGAAAGGGTTGATAGCAGAAACATATCATTGCCTACTGAGAAAACTAATTCATCAGCGGTTAACTATTGAGGACTAGTTGATCGTTGAGCATAAAATGTTAGGAAAACATAGTTTTCGAGATATTTTTCACAGTTTCCAGAACTTTGCTGCATCATATACAGGGTGTATCCAAATAATACCGAAAAAATTCAAGGGGTGTTCCCTTGTGACATTCTAGTAATTAAAGTTCATATAAACATGTGGCCTAACTTGCTCCGTGTTTGAGATACAGGATGTTGAAGTTGGAAGTATTAATTGTTTTTATTTATAACCCACATGTATGAGCTGTCATGGTGCCAAAATTTAGTATCGGTGGAGACTGAGAAAGACATAAAATTTCAAATTGATTCTGATTGGGGTTATTGAGTAATCTCAAAGGAAGACTTGAAAACACCTACATTGAAATTTGCAGTCGAGTCGAATTTTTATCGTTTCCTCAAAAACTGAGTTAGACACAGAAATCACACACTGAATGAAAAAGTTGTTATTTCAATAGTTCAATCTAATAAAAATATGAAACTCAGAACAAACGTTGGTGTACAATGACATTCACCATGAATATCTATAAATTCACCGACTGTGACGCCACTGGAAATATTATTTCAAATCTAATTGTACTCGAAGAAGCTCTAAAAATTACTATCAACAAAACCACAACGTTTCATTGAAATTGATAAAAGGAGAGCGAAATGAATAGGAAAAAGATTTTTCATGGAAATATTGATAGCCTGTATCTCGAAAACAAAACAAGTTAGGACACATGTATACAGGGTGTTGCGAAATTCGACCGACAACGCTTGACAGGTGATAGCCCTCGTTATTTCATAATCACTGAGATAGGGACATGAGGTCTTCAAGTTTTCAGTTCTCGAGATACAGGGCGTTGAAGTTGAGAAATTAAAATAGTGTTTTCGCAATATCTCAAGAGAAATTGGATATAATGCATTCAAGTTCGGTATATGGTTTCATCTCTCAATGGTTCATTTTTTGACCAGAAAGACATTCCGATAATTTTATCCATAGGTGCGCTACAGGGGGTTGTGATAACTTTTCCTCCCATATTTTCTACGCCACTGACGGAATTTCGATTATTTACAATTTCTCGAATTGATTGTTCAATTATGTTGAAAAAATGCATGACCTTCAACTGAGCTAAAATGAATAGTTATCGAGATATTTGACCCAAAATAGAAGTTTGCCTAGTACTTTTTCATCTTCCTCAGTAGTAGAAAATCACAAAAATATTTGTTTTCTCTTTATGCGTGGAATAACTATTTCTGTTCAGCTACAGGATGAGATCTGAATAGTTTTTAATCTACTCAACACCAGAAATATATTTTGCAATTTTCTACTACTGAAAATGATGAAAAATTAAAATGCAATCTTCTATTTTGGGTCGAATATCTCGAAAACTGTTCATTTCAGCCCCGTTAAAGGTGATACATTTTTTGAACAAAATTGAACAATGAATTCGTGGAATTGGAAATAATTGAAATTTAATCAGTGGCGTAGAAAATATGGGAGGAAAAGTTGCCACAACCCCCTGTAGGACACCACTGGATAAAATGTCCAGAATGGCTTTCTGGTCAAAAAATGACTCATTCGAAGATGAAACCATATACCGAATTTGAATGCATTATATTCAATTATTCTTGAGATATTGCGAAACAACTATTTTTATTTCTCAACTTCAACGCCCTGTATCTCGAGAACTGAACATTTGGAGACCGTATGTCCCTATCTCAGTGATTATGAAATCACGTGGGCTATCACCTGCCAAGCGTTGTCGGTCGAATTTCGCAACACCCTGTATATGAACTTTATATCACCAGGATTCTCACCTTGATTTTTTTTGGTGTTATTTAGATACACCCTGTATATAATGCAGGTGCAAACATTTTGAAAAATGTTGATGATGTTATGTCTTTCCAGACTCCTGAAGATGGAGCGCAAACAGCCCTTCACCTTGCTGTTTCCCGGGAAGTGGAAAACATAACTGGACGTTATTTTGGACGATTATCTGAGACTTGGAAACCTCGTATTTGCAAGGATAAGATTCTCTGCGAGAAAATATGGACAACATCAGAAACGATAGTCAAACTTGAATCTAACGAAAGATTGTAATAAATTTTAGAAAATTGATATCTTTAACTCTTTGCTATCATATACAGGTATTTCATTCGCTGATTCACAGAATGCTCATGCAACTGAGAAGTCACTCAGAGATGATATTTCCAACAGTAAAAACACAATAACTTTATCGAATAAATTTATCTTCCTCACGGAGAATATTTGCCAGTCAGTCATGTTGTCTAATGTAAGTTTCTCGAGAGAAATTACTGATGGAAAATTTCTGACTCAGTAAGGAAATTTGTCTAATTAAAAACAACTTCGAGTGTTTCTTTTCGGCAAGATGAATCAATGACCACATAAAAATAAACAACAATATAATTATCACCTTTATAGATGATATCGTGTTTCTTGAAGTATGCTGAATTGATTCTTTCTTCTTATTCAGACGAAATTCTACTAGAGCGACTCATCTTACTAATTTGAGCATGAAAAATAACCAATAATCAATAATGCAGACACCAAAATCGAGGAAGGGTCAGGAGCTGGTATTCATGGGGCCAAGCCAAAGACAGGAATCTTACTGAGCTTAGGCAAATACGCGACGGTGTTTCTGGCAGAAATTACTGCAATACATCATTGCGCAAAAGAATTGATGAGCCAAGAGTTCAAAGGAAAAACCATTTCGCATTCTATTTGGATAGCCAGGTGGCAATAAAGGCAGTTATCTCATTGCAAGTTAACTCAGAGCTAGTATGGGACTGCTCAGAAATCCTAAATGAACTGGGCAGTCAGAACAGACTGACTCTAGCTTGGGTAGCAGCACATACAGGGTACATAGGGCAATGAAGAGGCAGACTCACTTGCCGGAGCAGGAGCAAACAAAGCTCTGAATGGCCCAGAACCGTTTTGTGGCATTGCGAAAGCAATACAAAAGACAAGTATCAAATCATGAATGCAAACCAAATCTCAAGAATGGTGAAACAACTCGCCAGGTGTGAGTTGAAAGAGTTTATTAAAAAACCATCGCCAACATTCACAGAATATCTACTGAGCCAGAAACGGAATACTTATATACAAGTAGAATACTAGTCGGAATTTTCACAGGGCATTGTAGGCTCAACAAACACATGAGTTCGATAGGTCTGACTGAAGAACTGCTGTGCAGGTTCTGTCAGGGAGAGGAGGAAACAGCAGTACACATACTTTGCCACTGTGTTACACAGGGGATCTAGCCAATGGAGTCTCATAGTGAAGGCGGGGCTAGCCAAAGAACTCTGAACGGTTTTGAGGGCAGACACAATTTATCTGAAAATGTTGCGGTGTGGAGGCAGATATAGCCCCACTTAAATTCTAATCTATATTATCTATCCAATTATCGAACTTGACACGACAAAAATTGGACTGACATCAGGCGCATACCTACTAAATAGGGAGTTTTTTAGCCACTATTCCACTCTTGATCTCGAGAACCAATCAGAATCGACCATTTCACGGTTTCTTCTGTATTCTAGCGACATTTTTTGTTTATTAAATTTTATCGGACTTGCTCTACCAATACAGAAGCCGAATTGACCCACACGTGACCAAAAAACCTCGTTTATCAGCGATAAAATTTTGACATCGTGTCTGGTCAAGATTGCTTTGGATTCAAATCTGAGACAATAACCTATAAGTAGGTAACTACTCACTTCATTTTATTTATTTATAATTCGCGTTAGTGAGACATTTTTTAAGAAAGGCTAGACAATTTTATTCTGGCTGGACGTTTCATGTGTAATTCAAAAAGTTTGCATATTTGTTGGTCTGACACAACAATGATAGAATTCAAATTCCTTTTTGAAGTAAACTTCTTCAATCACTCAAGCTATTGTGACTAATATAATCATTAGATGATGTTGCGCAACTGATAGGGTTGTTGCGCGAAGATGCGAAGGTCGATGGTTCGAGCCACTCGGCGACGACATCTTTTTTCAAATTATTTCATGTCACATAAATTCAATTTATTCTGTTTGAATTGGATAGAAATCATACACTCTTTTGGAAGCAACCATCTCCAAGATAATTGAAAAAATACTGTTTATCAAAATTGTACATTTCACTTTGTGAATAACTATAAGTAGGTAGTAAATTTCTAAAAAATCGAATTCTGTATTTCATTTACTATCATTATGTTCTTCTTCGCAGTTTGAGTTGGAATATATTATTATATTGTCTCATTCAATCATGGAATAGTCATACACGAATACAACTCGTGATACTATTTTTCTTGGAAATATTCGTCGATTGACATACTCCAGCTTGCCTTCGGCTCGTAGTTTTGATAACAATATCATTCACGAAATTACTAGGCAACAAGCTGTCGTAACAATCACCGAATATTTCCGGCAAAATATTATCACTTGTGGTATTATATATGACTATTCCACTCTTGATCTCGAGAACCAATCAGAATCGATCATTTCCATTGTTTCTTCTGTATTCAAGCGATATTTTTTTTTTATTAAATTTTATCGGACTTGCTCTACCAATACAGAAGCCGAATTGACCCACACGTTACCAACAAACCTCGTTTATCAGCGATAAAATTTTGACATCGTGTCTGGTCAAGATTGCTTTGGATTCAAATCTGACACAAGAGACAATAACCTAAGTACCTACTTCATTTTATTTACTTATAATTCGCGTTAGTGAGACATTTTGTACGAAAGGCGAGACAATGTCATTCTGGCTGGACGTTTCATGTGTAATTTAATAAGTTTGCATATTTGTTGACGGTCTGATACAACAATACTAGAATGCAAATTCCTTTTTGAAGTAATCTTCTTCAGTCACTCAAGTTATTGTAACTAATAAATTTACCAGGTGATGTGGCTCAAGTAATAGGGTTGTTGCGCGGTGATACGAAGGTCGGTGGTTCAAGCCCGTCAACGACAATAACCTTTTTTTAAAATTATTTTATGTCACATAAATTCAATTTATTTTGTTCGAATTGGATAGTAAATGTATGAACTCTTTTGAGAGCAACCATCTCCAAGATAATGAACAAAATACTGTTCATCAAAATTGTACATTCCACTTTGTGAATAACTATAAGTAGGTAGGTAGTTGATTTCTAAAAAATTGAATTCTGTATTTCATCACTATCATTATGTTCTTATGTTTGAGTTGGAATATACTTAAATTATGTTTCCTATTTCTTATATATATTGTCTCATTCAATCATGTAATAGTCATACGAATACAACTCGTGATACTACTTTTCCTGGAAATATTCGTCGATTGACATACTCCAGCTTGCTGCTCTAATTTCGCTCATGACATTGATCCAAAACTACTCGCCTACGGCTCGTAGTTTTGATAACAATTTCATTCACGAAATTACTAGGCAACAAGCTGTCGTAACAATCACCGAATATTTCCGGCAAAATATTATCACTTGTGGTGGATGACTCAAGGGCTACTAAATTCAATTCGTAGAAGAGACCTGTTGAAAAAAAAATTGAATAGACACTACAATGAAGAAAACAGTCAAGAATATAAAACCTATAGAAATTTTCTGAACAATCTAATCAAAACAACTAAACAAGAATTCTATAAAACAAAAATCGTGAATTCCCAAGAAAATATAAAAAAACTTTGGAAAAATATAAATGAAATAACTAATGAAAAACGTCAGAACACTTCGGACTTTAATATAATTGACGAGAAAAACCAAAAAATTACATCAGACAAAGAAATAGCTAATCATTTTAATAAATTCTTTACGAGTATTGGAACACAAATGGCAAACAAAATCGAAAAACCAACTACTCTACATGATCACCGTATCACAGAGACCGTAAACAATCGAGATGCTATCTTCCTTCGACCTATAACTAAAAATGAAATAATACACATTATATCTGAATTGAAAAATAATACCTCACCTGGTCCAGATAAAATTTCAGTAGAGCTAATAAAAAAGTATCATCTGCATCTAGTTGACCCTTTATGTCACATCTTGAATTTAATTTTTAAAATAGGAACAGTTCCATCTGCATTCAGAGAATCCTTAACCACACCTATATTCAAATCTGGGAACAAAAAAATATCAAACAACTACAGACCAATAACGGTGATTAATAACTTCACAAAAGTCTTTGAGAAATGCTTAAAAAATAGAATCATGAATTATTGTGAAAAAAATGATATACTATCAGTCTCACAATTTGGATTCAGAGAGAACTGTTCCACAGAAAAAGCAGTCTTTGAGTTAACTAAAACACTCCTGAATTGCTTTGATAATAAACAAAAATGTATGACCGTATTTCTGGACTTGGCCAAGGCATTCGATACGGTAAATCATAACATTCTGTTTCAGAGACTGGAAAGCTCTGGCATAAGAGGTCTTCCTCTAGAATTAATTAGGAATTATTTAACAGACCGCAAACAAATAACAAAAATTAATAATACTTTAAGTGATCCTTTACCGGTATCCATGGGCGTGCCACAGGGGACAGTATTGGGACCAGTTTTCTTTTTACTTTATATTAACAGCCTTTATAACTTGCAAGATATAAAAGGAAAACTCATCTCTTATGCTGATGATACCGCTATTGTATTCATAGGGGATAATTGGGAAGAAACATATAAAAAAGCGGAACAAGGACTCAAAAAAATATAGAGCTGGCTTAGTGAAAGTATGCTTAGCTTGAATATTGATAAAACGAAATTCATTACTTTTTCACCCACAATAAGAGATCAACCCTTGAATGAAAATATTCGACTCCATGGATCCGGCTGTACAAATGACTTCGACTGCGCATGTTCTATGATAAAAAAAATCGATAATATAAAGTACTTGGGAGTAATAATTGACCAACATATTCGTTGGAATGAACACATCAATCATACTACAACGAGACTACGTAAATTGACTTACAAATTTTACCAGTTGAAAAATATTCTGAATGAAAAAAATAAAATAATGGTGTACGATGCCTTGGCTGAGTCCATTATTCGCTATTGCATTATTGTTTGGGGTGGGACTTTTCGAACTTCCCTTCACTGCTTAGAAGTTACACAGAATACTCTACTGAAAATACTGTTCAATAAAAACAGAAGATTTGGAACTGAGCAACTTTATAATGAAATAGGAATAATAAATCTAAAGCAGCTGTATTGCCACCAATGCCTCATCTGGACAAAAAACTCTATATTCTCTCCTACATTACATTATCATCATACTCAAAGAACAGCAAGGCAAGAAATTCCAATTCCCTTGTTTAAAACCACAATCACACAAAAATTTTTAACCTATTATGGTCCCAAACTTTTCAATCTACTGCCCTCTGATATTAGAAATATACAAAATAAAAATAAATTCAAAAAGCAAGCCAAAATCTTTGTTCAAATGTATTATAAGGATATCCTGAAATCAGTTCTCGAATAATTATTAATTATTCTTACAATATATTGCAATTACCAGTGATATTCTCTTTTCGTTTCTTCCTTTCCTTATAACACTCATAGGAATGATTGATTGTAATTCATTTTAATCTGCTAGTAGATATTTCTTTTTTTTTGTTAGTAATTTAACATAAAAATGTATGATGAGAGAATGGCCCACAATACAAGCTCAGCTTAGGTGGCTTCTCTCATCAAAAATTATTGTTAAAATCTAATTGAATAAACTTACTTACTTACTTACTTACTTACTATATATGATAAATCAACTCCTACATGGAAAACGCTATTCGACGACGACGTGAGTCATTTTGACATTGATGAAAATGATGGACCAATTTCATCGCTGATCAACCTGCCTGCTCCTTTTATCTAGTAGCTATTTGCGCCTACTGTTCCTCCGATTTCTGTCGTGTCAAGTTTGATTGATGAGTATGGTTCACGCGTAAATTAGCAAGATGAGCCGTTTAAGGAAAATTTTGTCTGAAGAAACCACGAGAATATAATAAAATCGATTCCGCAAACTACTAGTTACACGGAATCATCAACGTTTTTTTTTATTACAGTGATCTATCATACAATATGATCGAATCTTTCCTGTTGATCAAAATTTGGCAAAACCATTTTTGCAAAGAATGCTTTGAAAGGAACGCCAACAGTTTTGTTCAACAACTGAATTTTGACAGTTCGATTGGATATGCGAACAGAACTGTTGATTTATTAAGCGTATTCACATAACGCAAGAAGGGTTGCCGCTGGATTATTATTTATTGGGAACTATGAAAGATTTGATTTTCCAAAATGTACCAATCAATATTGATGAGCTGAGAAGAACCATAATCATCACTTCCAGGACTAAGGTAAGAAGACGGGATATCTCGCGAGCAATTCAGAATCTCAGGAAACGCGTGGAATTGGGTACAGAAGTGGAAGGTGAAATATTCGTTCCTAATTCAAAACCATAGTTTTCAAGAAGATGAGCTTGGCAAAAATGTGAACATTCCGGATCCAAATTCAAATAAACTGTCGAAATTCATCTTGTTGAACAAAACTGTGTTGGCATCCCAACGATCATATCGTGTGATACATAATTATTGTAATCAGAAAAAAAGACTTTTCAAAAATGCAAAATTCCAATATCGCGCCCATAAGAAAAATCAAAGTTGTGTGTTGTAATTTTGGCATCAAGAACGTCATGGAAAATACAATGATAGATTCAGATTTCTTGTGAAAAAGTGCCTTAAGAATGTTCCAGTCAGATACGTGTAGGTTTCTGGTTTCCGCTTGAGAAAATAAAAGAGAAAATTATGAATCTTTGTTTTCTTTCAATAATTCGAAAACTAAAAATGACACTTCAAGTATTTCTCGCAGATAAATGTTCAACATGAAAATGCGCAACTTTGCTCCAATTCAACTGACCTCGTTTCTGTAATAATAACTGAGATCCCCATGGTGGAGCTCGAAAAACGGACACCCTGTATATGAAATTATATAAGAGCCGTTTCACATTTCGCAATTTTCAAAGAAAATTAAACGAATTTTCATTGGATGCCTGTCGTAATTTTACTTGAAGGAAATGGGTCTTGACCTATATTTTTATTGTAGCAATTCGTATTGAATGTTACTATCCTCATGGTTTCTTTTTCCGGGCTCAAAATTTAGTAAGGAGCAAATAGTAGATTGTTTTATTAGGATCAAAAGTGACACTTTGTCTAACAAGCGAACGAACAAAGTCACTTTTGATCCGAATGAAACATGCTATTTTTTCTACAACCGAAACAATTTACTCAAATGAACATGTGAAGTAACCACCAATGCCGTGCCATATCGTTGGCCATATGTATGCAATGCAACAGATATTGACAAATATTCCATGTGGTGAGAATATTCTACCTGCATTAACAGCAGGTTAGGTTTTCTAGGATGTTCGAATTGCAGTTTCAATATAAATACAACCACAGAGTGACATATTTGTGTATGGACCAGGTGCTCAAATGGCAAATACCGCGCCAGAGCCAGCTATATTAACAAGTAGTGGAAAATGTTAGGTTAGTGAGCATATCAACAATGATAATAGTGATTATGTATTCCTCTCCATACTACACTGTGTTTGACTTGATAATCAAATGAAGCTTAACAATATCGTTGTTTGAGACAAAAAACTATTGCTTGCCGTGATTATTCAAAAACAAGTTATCCATCCCGAGAATAAAGAATGAAATACAGATCAAGCAAGTATTCGAATCTTGAAGGCTTCCCTGATTAAAACAAAAATACTCAACTGAGATGTTTATAATTCCAATACTAAACTATAATAAGGTGTATTTATATCTCCAGCATGGGTATGAAATGCCAAATCTGCTGAAATCGGAAACAAATCAGGTATGCGTCTCAACCCTAATAACCAACTGTCACAATGTTGTTTATTCTTGATGACGTCCAGTAGATCCTTTTTAGTTCCTAGGAGCTAAAGTTCAACTTTAGCTCCTAGGAACTAAAATTCAACTTTAGCTCCTAGGAACTAAATATGTTGCCTAGCAACATACCTATTTTTGTGTCAGTAATTGAAACGTCAATTTGAGAGCTAATTTTGGTATCAAAATGGACGACTTTTGTGTCGGTTGCAGAAAAACACATTTTTTCAAATTGGAACCTGTCAAGCGGGTGTATAGAGTCCATAAAAATAAAATAACAGCAAAAAAACAGGTATGTTAGTATACCTACTCAGTTTGAAAAACATCACAAAATTGACTAAATCCCTCCCCCCCCTAAGAGATTCCACCTCATATAGGTCCGCCCTTGAATTATTTCTATGATAACTGCGTGATGCTGCGTGGAAGATATCTTCATTCACGACTTTCTTCATACGCCTGAATGCTACAAACAGGTCTTTATCACCTACATTGCAGAGTCTTCGTGGTCTTGTTGACCTCACTCGCAGCATATACACGATACTAGAAATGAATTGACAATCATATCATCATTCGTGATGTTAGTGAAGTTTGTTCTAGGCCTATATCGTTCGTCTTGGTCGATTTTCAAAATATTTTGATCCATAATGCCTTATATCATCATAACTATTGTTGTTTCCGTCGTGGCTGTGATTTTGATTCTTATCAGGGTGTACTTTAGATTGATTTGTGCTCGTTGCAGGAGTAAAGTGACTCTTTTGGGGAAGACGGCACTTGTAACAGGAGCGAGTTCTGGTAAGTATATATATATATTCTTCTATATTTTACTTCTTTGAAATGATAATAAAATGAATATCTAGTCTCGTTTCTTATTTCTACTGTTTCTATATTGTGAACTCTCTATACACGATACTGGCACCTATACTATGTCAATGATTCAACTGGTATGCTGAAATTGTTGTGTTCCGAAATAGTTCATTATCCAGAGAGAGATTTTGAGATAGCTTTGGTTGAATTCGAAACAGCGTCTGTAGCTTTTAGCTGAGTTAGCTGTCATTTGTCAGTGATGCTGGGTTTATAGATTCAATAAAATTAACAATTAAGAATTAACAATTAACAATCAGTAATTGATAATTATGAGAATGTTAATACATATCTGATATTCATTAAGAATTGAATGTGAAATGTATTCTGATTAAAGATCAAAATAATGTTGAAAGGTGATTTAGGTCTCCAGAATTCATGAATCCATAAAAAATATTCCAATTGAATATCACGAAACTCCACCTGAACAGTACCAAATCCAATTTTCATGTTCTGTCTGCAGAATTTCATAATTCTTAGTTGGCCAGTTGGCCTATAGTTCAAAATCCTTAATTCTTGATTCAAATGACGACAGATGTAAATGTATGAACCCTCATAGAGATGTTTCCTTATATTAAACTTTTCAAGTTTATAGATGTTAATTTAATTCTTAGTCTAGTTGAATCTATAAACCCAGCATTATAATCAAAACTTATTTTGTTTAATAATGATTATTATCTGTGAATGAAAACAAACAGAAAACAATTTCATCAACTTGATATTTTGTGATGGTTTCTATGACTATAAATATGTGTTGATATATCGAGCTTTATTGAACAGAATGTATATCTGTCGTGATTTATCTTTGGTATAGGTATTTATTTATTTATTTATTTATTTATTTAATTTGTAATACATCCAGCAGGCCAAGGCCCAATTACAGGAGTATATAATAGAGATTACTATACATATGGTTGAATGTGATTTCAATTAGGTATAATCAAAGTTAGTGAAAATTTTAGTTAGGAACTAAACTGGAAATGGTTTGTTTGAATTGTTTTGAGGTGAGAAAAAATATATCAACAGTTCCAAGTTTATTATAATTTCTGCACATTGAATTGATTGGAGAATGAAAATGGTGCTGTGTGTTAGACACATCAATGTGGAATGTATCTTGATACCGAGAGGCTAATCGGGGTATACTAAACTCGATCTGCGAAAGTAATACTGAGGAGTCTATAGTATTGTGTATAATTTTATAAACAAAAAGTAAATCACCTATTTCTCTCCTCTTCTTCAGCGATTGGAACTTTAACTCATTCAACAGAAGGTCATAATTATAGTGCCTTTCGGGGTAGACTTTATATTTTTTGTAAAATAAGTATTTCAGAAATTTACGCTGTACCATTTCAATAGCAGAAATTGTTTGTTGGTGGTACGGATTCCATACCTGACTGCAGTATTCCAGTTTACTTCTAACCAAACTAAAGTATAACTGACAAAGTGCTTCTAATGATCTAAATTCACTACAAGTACGGATTAAAAAACCCAAGGATTCCATAGCTTTGGAGATCATTGTTTCATAATGACTTGAGAAGGCAAGTTTGCAGTCATATATGACACCCAGGTCCTTGTGTTGTGTGACTCGTGTTAGAGATTCATCATTGATGACATAGTGGTACATAAGAGGATTATTTTTTCGTGAATACGTCATCACCTTACATTTGCTGACATTGAGCGATACCTAGTTTATTTATTGAACACCAGTTTTTCAGCAGATTCAGATCATTTTGTAAGGAAATGGCATCCGATAAGTCGTTAATCCTTCTGAAAATTTTCATGTCGTCAGCAAATATGAGGGATTTCGACTCAAAATTGGAGCATACATCATTCACGAATAACAAAAATAATAAGGGTCCCAAATTTGAGCCTTGAGGCACACCTGATGTAGCTATAAACTGTGAGGATTGAACTCCTTCGTATTCGACATAAAGTTTGCGGTCTTTCAGGTATGTCCTCAATACATTGATAAGGTTTTTGGAGAATCCAAAAGATACTAGTTCATCTAATAACCTGCTGTGTGATACACGGTCAAATGCTTTACTGAAATCAGTGTAAATAACATCAACTTGGCATCTTGAATCTAGAGCATTCGAAACAAATTCCGTAAATATACAGAGGTTTGTCGATGTACTGCGACCTTTCATGAAGCCATGTTGGTTTTCTGTAATGAGGTGACGAGTGTGTTCATACATCAAGTCCGCCAAAAGAATCTCGAATAATTTTGAAAGATCAGAAACTAAAGCAATTGGCCTACCTAATTTGTTATTTCTGTTGGTTTTCCTGATTTGGTATACCTACCTAATCAAAAATCGATTACGATATGCAGCCACTCACAACATCTTTTGTCCCAAAAGTATGACCTGTTTGGTGGTCATTTACTTCAGCGGGAGTCTGAGCCAAAAATATTCATTATGGATATTTTTGACACCTCCATGTCATCTTTATCAGTATAAAAACAGCAGAGACATCTTCAAATGAGTCACCATTTTATTCTATTTTCATTTTGATATCTTTGGTCGCAATATCGATTTCATTTCTAATTTATTGAAATAACAAAATCATGAGACCTTAAATTTGACCAAACAGGTATTGCGTTCCATTGCATTTGAGTGTATATATTCAAGTTCAGATATGCAATATTTATAAACATATTCATTTATTTGTAATAATATCTGAAAAAGGCACTCTGTTCAACAAGAATCAAGCCTGTTTAAGTGATATTAATTGAAATAATTGGATGTTGTGACCTTGCATGTGTACATGATAAATGCCTGATGTAGAGCTACTAAGTAGGGCAGACAAAATGTCTATTAGTAGATATAATTACAACGATTGAACGATTTTTATCAGTTTGAACATGACAATTGAACTTAAGTGATGGAAACCACCCACCCCTACTCATTTTATAAAAAATGTGAATGTATGTTTGTTTGTCGGGCTTTCACGCCAAAATTTTGAATACATATTCTCATGCAGATGTATTAGAAAGGACATAGAATACTATTTATTGGTAAAAGAATCATTTTCACGACAGGACGAGAAAAAAAAAAGATTTTGACAGACATGATTGTTGGACACAAAATATCCAACAATAAGACAAGGAACTCTGTACGTAGCTACCTTAGATATATTTTTTCATGACTCGTGGACATGGTCCCATCACAGTGGCGTAACTACCATAAAACAATAAGTGAGCGCAATGTGTGGGAGCCCTGGTGGGAGCCCACTCGTCGGACTACTCATTCTTCATTCTTTAATGAAAAATAAAATGGAATATGCGAATATTTGAAGCAGTTCCTGATATTGTAGGTTTTTTTCAACTGAATCTAGGGACACTTCTGTCAAGCAAACATTATTTTTACTATGTTCTGCATTAGTTCTGGCATTCTCGAACCGTTCGAATTCAAATCGTATACGAATGAATAAAGATGATCTTACATAATTATGTGATGGATATTGAAGTAGAATAGACGATCGAATTCGTATAGGAAACTATTATTATTATTTTATTACCGGCATATAACGAATTTGCTTCAGATCATCGTTTTGATTCTAGGGCATAGTTTTTCAAAATTAATGTTTCTTCATCAACTATTGACGTTATACAATCTCAGTTAACAAATAGATTCACAAGGTTCAATCAAGTGAGTGATATCTTTTTATTTTTACAACCTGAAAATTTCATAAATTCAACAGAGTCTGAAATCCTTGAGAGGTGTGACTATATTAAGAAAAATATATTCTCTAACTCTATAATAATATCGCCAAATTTGTCTTCACAATATATCAACATGGTAACATTGTTGAAATCAGAGTTAAATCCAGAAATGTCTGTAAAAAATTTTGCCGATTCATTGTTAATGAAATATAATTATTTGGAGTGGTATGTACTTTCCAAAAGTTTATATATTGTCCTATTATTTTTTTACCATGCCAATTACATCTGCGTCAGCTGAAAGATCATTTAGTAAATTGAAACTGATAAAAAGTTATTTGAGGAATCAAATAGGGCAAGAGCGATTAAAATATTTATCTTTAATTTCCATCGAAAGTGAAGCTGCCAACAAATTAGATCTGAGAGATTTGATAAATGAAATTGCAATGTGTAAAGCCAGAAAAAACATTTTAGCGTACAATAAGTTTAGTTTGAATGTAGAGTTGAAGTTATTTGAAGTTTTGTTTTTATTCAATGAGAAAAACACGTTGAGTTTCATTTTACTCAGAAAATCTGAAGTTATTTTGAATTTTTTTTTTATTTATGGAAAAATTATGTTGTTACTCATTGTTGTTGTTTAACTATGTAAAATAAAATGATAGAAATATAATGCTCGTCTAGCTCGTTGTTTAATTTTTTTTTTAATATTTGTGATTTGTGACTGAAAGGGGGCCCCCTCATGAATTTTGCGTTGGGGCCGAAAAATTCTAGTTACGTCACTGTCCCATCAGCCTTAGGTACCTCAGATATTGATTATCAGAATACGTCTTTAGGGACTGGTAAGTCTGGGGCGAGGTCTGGGGTTATTTAGATGAGGAAATAAAAATAGTAAACATCTAACATCAGGTGGGCACTACAACGACGAGGCAAATTTACTGCATGGGAGATACCCTCGGAGATACCCTTCATGCTATTCAGTAACTTGAACACGAATGACTGACGTTTTACACCGCATCACGCATTCTGAATTGCACTCAAATCGCTTTGATCGCGCTATGATTGGTTCGATTTACTCTTAGAACGCTTGAAAATATATCCACCGTGAGTCATTATGATGTCATGGATTTCATCACTCCTCGCGCTAAAAGTGTCAATAGTGTCACTACTGTCACTTGAAAGCATCCATCTTTGAGAACTATTTATTTATTATGCACTAAGCATGACAATAAACGTGGAACAAAGGTTAGTAAGCAATGGACTGGACACATCTACAACAAATATCACTTATACGTGTCTCGCTGGTTGCATGCAGTTGCATGTTTTATGTTCTCGATTCCCATTCCTTTCGAATTACTTTGTAGGTTAGCAGGAATAGCAGGCATTTCAATGTAATTTTCGGAGTTCGTAGAAAAAGCATAGTATGTAACGCGTTCATAAACTCTTCTAGACACTCGTTCATTAAACACTCGCTCCGCCTCTGTTCCGCTAGTGCTTAAAATACTCGTTACTAAAAGGACGTTTATAACAATTGTTACATAATATACTATTTCGATACGAGGTATTGAATAGTTATTTATGTAATAAGGATCATAAAGACGATCATTATGGTACAAGTCGTGAATGTTATCGGGCGAGGCGTAGCCGAGTCCGATAACACGGCGTGTGCCATAATGATTGTTTATGATTCGTATTACATACAAAATTTTATCTGATGGCATTTATATCAATACATTTTCGAAAAATTAAAAACTGCATTTTCGACATGTCACAATGACAACTATTTTTAAAGGAGTAAGTATTGTGTAGTTTCAAATATCAGTAGGTGAGTGAGCTGTGCTTTGCCATTATATTAATATTACAAATTGTAGTAATTGTTCTTTTACCATTTATAATAAATAGTTCTGTACATAGTTATGCATTTTGAATAAACTTTTTTGATCAAACCATTACATGTTTTCCTTATAGAATTTCATTATGGTACTTAGTACCATAATGAATTCATTATGGTACTTAGTCCCATAATGAATTCATTATGGTACTTAGTCCCATAATGAGCTTCCTTATGTCATCAAAATTGAGTGACATAACGTTGTCATTATGACATGCCATCAGATAAATCAATTAATGTCTATATTTATGAAATCGAACAGAGGCGATATTATACAACTGCTGCATCAGCGTCCTCAGCATCAGTACTTGACGAAGAAATATTATTTCAATAACGCTATCGTCATCACTGTGCCAATAATGAAAGGAATATTCACCAAAGAAAAGAAATTCTGCGTCCTAAAAGAAGCATTTAGGTGTCATAATGAGTTCATTAAAGACGCAAGATAGAAAAATTGAATTATGATATAATATAATATTTAGTTTACTGATTTTTGTAACCTGATATTACCATAAATGACAATAATATGTATACCAACTGACTTGTATTGCAAATTTTGAAGAAGAACAAAATCGAATCGTTTATTCTACTCCACCATACTAGTGATCAATTTTTGGTTTTAGGCATCGGCTACCAAATTGCAACAGAACTAGCATCAAGAGGATGTCGAGTTGTACTGGCGCAAAGAACTACTGATGAAGTAATGAAAGCTGAATTGATCAAAGAAACAAAAAATCCGAATATAATACTGGAATATGTTGACATGTCTTCGTTTGAATCTGTAAGAAATTTGGTTGGAAGAATGAATGCATCGCTGGACAAACTCGATATTCTGATAAACAATGCAGGAGTTGGAAACAGCTTGGACGCTCTAACGAAAGACGGATTCACCTTTTTGTGGCAGATCAACTATTACAGCCCATTTTTGCTGACATATCTACTCGTAGGTAAATAGCAACATTCTCATCAGAATTTTATTTTCAATAATAGTAATTCAGGTATCAATAAGGACGTGAAATAAGCTCTTATGGACTTCTACAAAAAATCACATTTCACATTCTAATTTCCGAACGAAAAACTGACTACTTCCGAAGGCAAGTACTACTGATCAACTGAAATATTTCATAATCTACAGAAACATATTTTGACACTTATTCAATATTATAATTATTACCGCTGATATCGCATATCATATGACAATCATGACATTTCATAGGTCCAGCTGGCTGTGAATGAAATAATCTTGGAAATATTAATACTCTGCCGCTAACGTTCAGTTCGAAACGCGGCAAGTTTGGATATTCGCGAAGTAGACATTAATGGTCAACTTGTTAACTTTGACTGACTATTTCACTAATCACATAATCTGACCAATCAACGTGTGCTTATCGCAAACACATTTGCTGCCTTTCAATTCTGATAGGTCTATCAGCGTTGATGTTTTTAACGATGTAACCATTAATAGCGAAGCAAAGTCTGTGAGTTCAGCATGAAATAATATGACTGTACTTGTCATAATGGATCACTCATTCACAATAATAATTATTTTTTATACAAGGAAAAAAGTAGTAGATTTTAGACAAAAATCCGTGAGATGAAATCCAATATTTTTCCCGTGTATAATACACTATTTTTTTCTGTGACAGAAGGAAGGTGATTCGTCCTTCCTTCTCTCACAATATTGAGAAGATATCACATTATTTCGAAATCTGAAAATTATCGACGTGAAATTTTAAGTTTTTAACAGTAGGGACACCTACGATAGTAGGCATCTTCATCATTTTTTTGAAGTAATCAAATATCTGATGTCACTTCTCTCAGTCTGATTCTTTGATTTGATTTCAAAAACTTGCAAATTTAGTGGTTGTTTCGTAATATACGTAACCGCGAAGTCGAATGGAAGATAAAAGGACTTGCAGTTCTTTTTCGGAGACGGTATTATTGACTCATTTTTCGGAACTATAGCACAACAAAAGCCATCAACAGTGTATATATTTGTGATATATATCCGGGAAAATGTACTCACTTTTTTCCACAGGAAAAAAGTAGTTTATGAAAATTGACATTTTATAACCTGCCAATAGAGATGAAATGCCAAACTTTTTTCATGTCACAGAAAAAATGCTCTTTATGCTTCGTGAACGTGGAATAGTCTAACGAAATATCACTCTGTTCTGAAAATCTTCTCATAATTCTGTCTTCCATTGTTGACTTAATTGTGTTGCCGTACAGTAATAACCACTCGTCCTAACGGACTCGTGGTGTTGTTCGGCAACAGATATTTCGTGAACAATCAAGCGACGGAATTATCTTGAATATTCAGAACATTTTGATATAAAGAACTAGGAAAAAGCCAAATACTCGAAGTGTATGCATATATTTCGGGAGGATGAATCCGATGTTCTGCGTGGCACATAGCCAGGAAAGTAGTTGTTCTTCTCTCGTTATCTACCATTTTCGATCATCTTATGAACTATTGTGGTAATAACTTTGAATTTCTGTGATCGTGATATTACTTATGATACCTAGGTAATTCCCATGTGTTCATTTTCATCTTCTACAATTGACCCTATTGAATGTCATGGTAATTTTTGTCCTCTCTCACTTTCAGATCTACTGAAGAAATCAGATTCAGGACGAATTATCTTCACTGGTTCGATACTAGCTCATCTCCACACTGTCTCAGCAAGAGACATAGAAAATAACAGGATAAAGAGTAAAATCAAGGTTTTCGACTATGTCAACACGAAGTTTCTGACAATACTTGCCGCAGATTTTTTCGCAATGAAACTGATGAAATTCAATATAACCAGTAATTCCTACCATCCTGGGATTGTCAGCACACCTATCTTCGAAAAAACAGCTCAGCATTACAGGGGTATAATGGATCGTTTAGCACTCATCTTTGCTTTGATCCTCAAGATGTTTTCAAAGAAGGTAATTCACGAATCCAGGATGAGATTTCCTTATTTTCTATTTCAATGACCGTCGAAAAACGCCTCAAGCCATGCGCCGCTATGAATTATCCGATTTTGCGAAATGAAAAAGCAAATTATAATAATAATAATAATAAATCGACTCTATTCATCAAAACCGAGGAAGGTGTTTGATGATGAGGTGGAGTGTCAGCAGAAGCTGTTTCTCAACTGAACCTTCACAACAACAATTACAAATTACAAAAAATAGTGGATGATGGAGGGTGTAATATATTATCGAAAATATAATATCGAAAACATACAACAACAATCATAAAATACATGTAATGGGTGATGAGCTACATCAGCATACATATAATAAATTATCAAAACATAAATGAGGATTCTCAAAGAAACGGTAATGTGATAATATTTAAAAACTTCACAAACGATAATTTTTTCACAAGAATCTCACACGAAATGTTTCGCTACATCTGGTACATCGTACCAGTATATCACCTATGTGTTAGCGAAACATGTCGTATGTTTGAGAATTTTGTGGAAATCTTATCGTTTGTGAAGTTTTTACATTTGCCAAGGATTTCAATCAAATAACGGCCAAGTCAATTAAAAAAAGAAGGTGAAAAGAATATTATAATATTTTTATAATGCGTCCTGCTGCGTTTGATTGGACAATGAAAACAAGCACTGATTACGTCGGGATTCCATCGTTCCATGTCAAAGCCACGTCAAAACTGGGGGAAAACAAACTCAATCCTCACTCGATCCCATCAGTGCCATTAGCTTGTGTACTGTGTACTGATAAGAGTAATAAGTTTCCAAATTTCTTGACATTAATTGTCAATATTCGATCGAAAACGCTAAAATGCCTATTGTAGATGTTTTTTGGCAGATATTTTGCTCTATTTAGATGAAAAAAGCCGACCAGTAGTGGAAGGAGGAGCATTCCTCTGTGCTTATCATGTGATTTTGTGTGAGGCAGAAGACTTCAACAAAAGGCACATTTTTGCACTTTGTATAGAAAATTCGGCGATGAAATCTCCCCCACATGAACTAAAATTGAAGTTGGGGTTCAGAGGAACTCCTGTAGAACAATGAATTTGTATTTGTTCCTGCAAAGCAGGACAATCTGGGTATCGTGAACATGTTGTAGCTGTTCTGTTATATGTCAATTGATTTGCTGGTCATAATTAGTTTGAATTGTTTGAACTATCTTCAATTCTTCACCCGTTCACTGTTTACTAAACTAATAAAAATGTAATAATGTAAAAATTCAACCAACTCAACCATCATCTACAGCTACAGCAAGCTGAATGCAATGTATTCTATGCACTTCATCCATAGACAACAGTTTGTTTTCCCCCAGTTTGAAGTTCGTATTATGTAACCTAGATGTCGCCCACTTCGTGAATCTCGCGAATAATAGGTAGTCGGAGCTGCATGTCAGAGCAGCAACACCATCGAAAATATCATCAGAAATCTTGAGGTTGGGCAATTTGATAGAATCATTTTCTTAAAGAAACAATATATGTTAAAGAAAAAGCAATAAAATACACTGAGACGGTCGACCACAAACTTATTTAACGAAAGGAAGGAGGAGTAACGAGTTTAGGTCACAGGATCATCAAACACTATAGTTACACCTCCCTTTCATTATATAAGTTTGTGGTCGACCGGGTTAGTGTATTTCATGGCTCCTTCTTCTGAAAATCGATTAGACCACTGTACCCAGATAGCACAAATACATTTTGAGGCCCTTCGTAGGCGTTCACAATAACGTCCTCAGGACGTCGAGGGCGACCCTGACGACGTCCCTAGGCCGTCCTCCTGTTACCGTTCTCTACATCCTAATTACGTCTTAGAACATCCCAATAAGGTCTTCTGGGACAAGTATAGGACGTTATGGGAACATCTTCAAGTAGTATTCAAAAATGTCTTGGGATAGGTTGATAAAAATAAAATTTTAATAATAAAATATGGATATCATGATATTTGCTTAATTTGCCTGGAATAATGATATGTTCAAATACAAAACTTACATTCCTTTATTTATAATTTATTGTGAAGATTTTCGAGTTACGTTTTGAAAAAATGTATCTCAGCTTCTTGTCGAGCACTACTAGAAGTTATTGCCCATTGGCAATATTTCTCTATGTTGTTTTCGATTTATCAACTCTGGATGCTGAATCTACTGAAAGCTGAAGCCTTCATTCATTATTTTATAGATGAAATCAAGTTTGTGATTTCCATAACCTTCTGAAACAAACAATGATTCAATATCTCATATCCATGTAATATCTATGATTTGATCCACCTACCTCTATTCCTTTCTTCCTCAGAGAAAACTCATCATCAACATAATGATACTTTATGATGATTTTTGTTTTGTTCTAATTCTGTTGTAAGTTCTCTTCTCGTTATCATTCGTGCTTTCTGAACCCTGGACATACTTTCTGATGCTCAATTTACTGAAAGTTCAAGCCTGCATACAATCTTTTATAGATTCCGAAGAAGCCAAAATATCTTTGATTTGAACATCTCTGCTCTGATGATAGCATCAAAAGTTTGTGTTCTCAATAACCCCCTGAAATAAATAAAGTATTAAAATTTCATGTCCAGTACCTACCTATACTATATCTATGTTTTGATTCAGGTACCTACCTTCATTGAATCAACTGAGAGTTCAAGCCTGCATACAATCTTTTATAGATTCCGAAGAAGCCAAAATTTCTTGGAATGAAACATCTCTGCTCTGATAATATGATATCATCAAGTTTGTGTTCTCAATAACTTCCTGAAACAAATAATGTATTGATATTTTATGTCCAGTAGGTATACCTACTATGAATATGATTTGATTCCTACCTAGTATCTTTATCGTATCTATACTGAAAGTTAAAGCCTGCATACAATCTTTCATAGATTCCGAAGAAGCCAAAATATGTTGGAATATCAAACATCTCTGATCTGATGATATAATGATCAAGTTTGTGTTCTCATCAATAACCTCCTGGAACAAATAATAATGTATTGATATTTCATGTCCAGTACATATTATCAATGAGAGAAAATTCAGATATAATATCATATAATACTATATACCTTTCATTATTGAATCCACTGAAAGTTCAAGTCTTCATACAATGTTTGATAGATTCCGAAGAAGCCAAAATATCTTGGAATGAAACATCTTTGCTCTGATGATATCATCAAGTTTGTGTTCTCAATAACCTCCTGAAATAAAAAAATATGTTCAATATTTCATGTCCAGTACCTACTATCAATGATTTGATTGATTAATTACCTGTATTTCTTATCATCTCATCAATTTCTTAGAGAAACATTATCATGAGACATAACCTCACTTCTGGTATTCCTAGTTCTTCTTCTTCCTTTTGGCTTCGTCGACACGTCATTTCATGGAATGTCATCTGAAGACATCCGTAGGCACGAAATCCGCTGCAGCCTCAGGCTGTCACTGAAAGATCTTTTCTAGGACAATTTGAGCGCTAAATCTACGCCTGATGATGTTCTTAGGTTGTAGAGAATATAACGTCCTCTCTAGGCGTTTGGCGACACATTGTCGATGACCCTAGGCGATTGTGTGCTATCAGCGAAGATTTGAAGAATGATAGGGATTCTCTTCCGTGGACGCACTGTATTAATGTATTGATCATGACTTGGATTATTTTCAGACTGTGGAAGAAGGTGCTCAAACAGCTCTACATCTAGCTATCGCCAATGAGGTTGCAAACGTGACTGGTGAATTCTACGGGGAGAATACGAAGAGTTGCAAGCCTCATGGCGCCCACAATGAAATGCTGCGCGAGAGGGTTTGGAAAGCCACAGAATTTTCCGTAGGCCTGAAGCCTGAAGAAATTCTGGAATAGATGGGAAAAATGATAAGAACATTATCCTAGTGAAAATATTGACAAATTGTGATTTTGTTATTTCCTTTCAATTTCTGTTATCGTAATGAGATGTTCAGGACTGTACAAATATTCGATGACTCTGTGCCAGAGAATAATACCTATATGTTCAGATATTTGGAAGTATGTACTAACCCAAGCTAGCTTACTATCGCATTTTTTTCCTCAGAGCATTTTGAATAGTTGAATGATCATAGAAATTTACAATATTTTGAATCATTTTGGAATTCCATAGTGATTTCATGATTTATATATCCACAAGTCTAGTCGAGTCAAAATATACGTTTATGCCGAATGAATATTTGGTATGCAAGGTGGTCTGACCAAATTCAGATCAAATGCCGTAGTTAACGCATGTTTAGACCATGCATCTTGGAGACTGACGTTACCAACATTGTTCCGACTCATTTTTCTTCTTCTTCTTCGTCTTCTTCTTGTTTCCTTAACGTCGGCCTTCTTCTGCTACTGAGGCTAAACACCGACGCCAGTGAGCACACTACATCCAACCGAAAATGTTTCCGTTTCTGGTGTTCCATCCAGAGGTACCATATCATGTGCTCATTGATATGGTAGCATTAGCTATGAAATGTTATTTTGTTACAGATGTACGGGCTTACGCGGCGATTCCTCGAATGGTCACCCATCCAAGTACTAACCGCGCTCGACACTGCTTTACGTCAGATATAGAACGTATTGAATTAATTCATTGTTTGTTCACTTTTTGTTACATCACATTTCTATTATTGAATGTTGGCAAATCTACAGGTGTGCCTGGATATCCCTCCGCTTGGCGCAGAGGTGGCTGGTGTTGGCCAGGGAATGTGAGTGGATATGCGAGGTGTTCGTCACAGGTACCTATCTCCTAGGGCTAGGCCCTTTTTATAAGTAATCTCGCTGAGGGTACCCAAGAGGGTGGGGGAGCTGTTCAGCCGCATCGATGTGGGTGGGTTTTCCTGTTTATGGAGGAAAAGTAAAAAAAATGGCGAGACCATAAAGAACCTCTTTCTTGATATAGAACGGATAGTGCCTTACCTGAGAAACTAGGGCGAAACCCTTCGACTTGATTATCATTTTGAGGTTGGATTGTGGAACTCCACTTGAATGAATGACTGATAGGTACCTCTTAGCAAGATACGAAATTTGCTGAAATTGAATGAAATATTGTTTCGAGGAATCATAAAACAACTGACACTGGCACTCAAGTCGAGGCTATATATAAAAAAAGTAAACCAAAGTCTTGGTCATCATATTAATTCAGTCTGGTACGCAACGAATTTTGGTACCAAACCAAGCTGGTAACTTTACCAAGTGAACAGTTTATACCACACTGACCAAGAGTATTTAGTTGAAATATAGTTATTGGTCAACTGACCAAGACATGTTTTAAACCAGGCCAATGAGGGCCATTTGCGTGAACTCTAAATCGTAAATCAAGTCCCCTAACTCATCAGCTTAGGAATATATACGTTGCCATGGAAATGAACAAATCAAATATCCAGTCGTCTGCCAAATGCTTCATGAAACCGGCCTTCTGTCCTGTTGAAAATCCATGAAGTAGACCTATATACCTGAAGCAGGAAACACATATCACAAAAAATATTAGTATGAAGGTTTAAAAAATGGAATTAAAATTCATAAAGTACCAGCAATACAGAGTACATGCAAAGAACAACAAAGATTAACATTATCAAAGAATCGGATCATGAGCCTTCTCGGTTGAAATACCCTCAACTGAACTACGAAATTTCATGACATTTTGAATATAATTCATCACAGCATTGATTGTTTATGTGGGTGATCCACGGTGCATGGCCTATTACACTGAGAGAACAGTCTATTAACAATAAAGAGATTTTATTTATTGTTAACGAATGACGTTGTTGAATATGGACTAACTAACATGATTTCATCACAAACTAATGGTATTTTAAAAAATTACAAACGAATATACAGGTTAATATTAAGTTATAATAATCTTGATCTCATGAAACATATATTGAATATTAACAATAAATATCACTTTGTGGACACTATACCCCATTTTGCATTAAAATAGATTTGTTTATAATAATGTAACGTTACTTCAAATTCAATTAACGTTTTCTTGATGCAATCGACTGTCACTTATATGTTAAGTTATCTATATTAAAACTTAACACACTGCGTTTTAATTTTAGATTTTCCAGTGTTGTACAGAAAGGAGGCATTGTTTCAATAAAGAAGCATTACTTAAAGCATGAGGAATCATTTTGTTATTGATAAGTTATGCTTCGTCAATATATAATATATTGTTTGGTTATTGATAGGTAATATTTTGAGTCGATGATCGATGGTTCCAATTGTTTTTTCCTAACAGAAAGAAAAAAGAGTCTCTGCGAACAAATTTATTTAAGCAAAAGTTTACAGTATAGTTACATCACATATATTTTGATATCAAAACATCGAAAAGACGAAACATTCTGAAAATTTGGATGCTTTGATAATTGAACATTCTCTATCCGTCTAAAATATTTTCATCGATACAGTGTTGCAAATTCTATCAGAAACAACTAGCACCTTTGTTATTTCGAATATAACTGCTGAGCTGATATTATCAATGTATCACACTTGGGGTCCAGCAGGAATGATTATGGAGATATAGGGTGTTCAAAATCGAGATTTATAATTCTAGGATTTTTTTTGTGTAGAAACTATTCATTATCGATCAAAACGGCTCACATGTCCCTATCTTAACTTTTGATCCAATATCTACTGGAATTCAATTAGAAAAAATACAGGGTGCTTCAAGATTCAGAATTCGGATCACCCTGTATCTGTTTCAATCAAATGTCAGTAGATAGTGAATCGAAAGTTGAGATAGGGACATGTGAACCGTTTCGATCGATAATAAATAGTTTCGACACAAAAAATCCTAGAATTGAAAAATATCGATTTTGAAACCCTATATCTCTGTAACCTTTCCTGCTAGACCGTTACCCAAGTCTGATACATTGATGAAGTCAGCTCTCCAGGAAGGATCTAAAGATGCAATAAAGTACAGGGTGCTCCATTCACAAAAACGAAGTCGCTAGTTGTTTCTGATAGAAGTGGCAACACTCTATCGATGAAAATATTTTAGAGGGATAGAAAATGTTCAATTATCATAGCATTTCCAACAACATATAATCTCCAAAAGTTCAAAACAAATTCCAATACCTACCTCCTGTCCCTATCTTCCCTAGGAACGCACGATGTTTTTTGAACATTATAGGGATTCCCTTTCGGGCGCTCCAAGCGATAAAAAAATCCAATTTTCAGAATGTTCTGTCTTTTCGTTCTCCAGATTCTTCTAATAGGCCATCCACCGTGGATCACCCTGTATATACACTGTTGATGGCTTCTGTTGTTAGTTTCGAAAAATAAGCCAATAACACCGTCTCCGAGAAAAAACTACATCTTCATTCATCTTCCAAAGGTGCCTGCAAAAATATAGTAATAAATAAGTGGAATTCCTGTTGAAAACTTAAAATTTCACGTGAATAATATTATGATTCTGATATAATGTTATCTTCTCAATATCGATTCGTCCTTCTTCCTGTCATAAAAATAAATAATGAATTATACACAGGTAAAAATTAAATATCAGATTTTAGCTCACGGTTTTCTGTCTTCCTCCGCTACGCGTCGGGAGACATCACAACCTCGAGCTAAAATCTATTAAATAAATACGAAAAGCTCAAAGTCATTTCCACACACATTTACATTTATTCGACATTTCATTCCACTTTGAGTATTGTGGTTATTTCTTACCTAGTTGAAATCTATTACTTTTTCTCTTATATAATAAATATATAACTACCATTTGTCTTGGCGTCTCGAGGATTCTTTCATCCTACATATACCTTTCGACTGTTTTTAAAACAGGAGATGTTTAATGTTTCCATCAAACGTTCTAGAATTTTCTTGCACCATATATTGAGTGTTCGGGAATACGATTGTACATATTAGAATAATTAGGATGTTCGAGAATCTGGAACGCGTAATACCTAGAGGGAGATCGATGATGTCTTGCCTGCTCAAAATAATATTGACTCTTCTTTGACATCGACGTTGGTTGGAGAAAATCTTGAAATTCCACTTTATGAATAATTTATCGAATGGAAAAACGATATAGAACTGATAGAACTCATTTCGCCAAGAATTCCGGAACGAAAGCATCATAAGAGGCATGAATTTGAAACTTCGGGTACGCCCATTACGTGGTGTGCTCTATTTTCCCTCGCCACGATGACTATTCCTTTCCCCTGTTTCTTCTTTCTAGATCTCTTAGTTATGAGATTTGGTTCAGTTTGTATTTTGAATTTCATGAAAAGAGAGAGATGGGATTCAACAGAAACATGTTATATGTTGTCATACTTCACATAGCTATAGAAAATGTCCTGAAGATAAATGTAAAAAATTTCAAAAAAAGAATAATTTTGCTTCATGTTCTGAAGTAAACGAGGTGATTCAGGTGAGATGTGAAGATTTGACTGATGATGAAACTGATAAAGATAGTAGAAATCAAGATAATGATTTACTAGAGATAGGTTCAATTGTGGATATGATCCATTCAATTCTGAAGAATGGACGAAATGAATTTTCATCAATGATATTGAATTTGAATTCAAATTATATAGATGCAGGAAGTGAAGCTTATATATTACCTCCCCATATTTACAATAATTATTATGAATTAGTCAGAGAACCTGATATAAGAAATACAGAAAAATCTTTATTAGTATATAACAAACATGGGTTGGATCTTCTAGGAGTCTGTAAAATGACTGAAAACTACAAAAGTTTAATAAAAGATTTTTTTTATACCCTCCCAGCAAAAAAAACGGCCACCAAATAATCTAGCCAAATTGTTTGCTCTGTAACTTTTTCAATTCTGGTCTGATTTTGGTGAAATCCCGACCAAATCGTAAACCTATGTTTCCAAATGTTAGCCCAAATATCAGTTTCTAAGGAAATCTGATGACTCGATCATTATACAGGGAAAAACGAAAGTTACTTTTTCACCCTTAACTTCTTAACGACCTGTGGGGAAAAGGTGAGTGAATCAACTTAGCTTCATTATGTTTTAGATTGAAGAGTGATCTCTTCTCTACATTATGGTTTTTTATTCACGCCGATAACCATTTTTTGAGGAAGATATAAGTGTTTCAAGAGAGTATGGATTCTTACAATTTTTATTTACAATAATTCAGAACCATCCTCCAACCTTCTGCTTCAAT